GGAGATAGAGCCCCATCTCCGAAACGTCGTTTTACGTTTTTTACGTTTTATTACTAGACGATGGATAATATCCAAGTAAATTTTTATTCAATTGACTCTTCACCATCGTCAAGAAGTTTCAGATTTGATATTAGTTACATACTTTATTAATTTTGTACTTAGTTCTAGTTACCTTCTCTTAGCTTTATATACAGTCACAGACAGCCAGAATAAGTTTCATAATATGAGAATAATCATTCCAATTGAGATTACATATTTTAGTATAAGTTTTTAATTGTCATCTTTTGCTACTGCAACACTTTTTAAGCCAAGGTATGTTACAATTACACATGTCAAAAATCATGTAAGAAAACATCTCAGCATTATCCATCTTACCCGCTCCATTGATATTATTTCATTGCCAAAATTCATAGTATTCTTAGTCACTGTGCCAGGTTCTTGTAATTTTGTTGTTGATACTGCGTGCTTCTCACCATTTGAGGGTTCTTTGGAGCGAAATAATGGACTTATCTTCCCCAACCCATGTCTCATAAGTCCTTCTTTCGGGTCTAAGGCATCCAGTTTTATGAGGTTCTCCCCTGCAGGTCAAAACAATATAAGATATCCAAAACAGGAATGAAAAATAAAAATGAAGGCCTAAGTTTCTAGTAATTCTTTGTGTGATGCAAAAAAACTATGTATAGGGTACACAGTGTGTGTGTTTGTGTGATCCATCACACCTTCAAACTCTTTAACCGTATGACAGATTTGTATTAAATTTCTTATGTGTCCTCTGTATGAAGTACACAAAATGAACATGTAGTGGTGCCTTCAAAATTTCCATACTGTTTGTACAATAATATGGTACCAACATTGGCTGAAACAGAATCAGAGTCTATATTAGAAATTTCATTTTGGTTTGAAATAGCCTGTTATAAAACCTACTGCACACCAAGCTCAAATTGAATTTTCTCAAAAACATTCATTGTAAAAATAAACTTGCACATCACATAAAATATAGAAATCTGTCGACAATTTTCCATTAAAACATTGACATTGTATTTAATGAAACATAAGGACAAAACTGACTCCAGAAGATGTCTATATCACAATATATTTTAAAACAATGGGACTGTTTTATATACAGAATACATTTAGATTTGGAGACATTTCCGAATTTCAAGTACCAATTCAAATTTGACTCAGAATTTTAATCATAGCATGTCAATGAATCATCTTAACTGTTAGACATTAGGCAGTCTCTTTCAGGTACAGTTCCCCTACATGTATACATTTGTCTCACCTCTGCAGGAAAGAATTATTTAGGAGTTTGCAACTAATGGAAACATTGAGAAACAATAGAAATTCATCGTCAAATTTTAACTGCCCTTGTATAACATAAAATTTATTAAACTTAGGGCTTAAATAGCAGCCTGGTCTGCAACTACACGAGGTACCAGCACCAAATTTGTAAACAATGTTCAGACTATTATTCACTTACAGAAATCAGACGAACAGCTTTGTAGTAAAATATTACACATGATCTGTTTACCTGTAGATCCTTTCTGTAAACCTTGAATAGGTATAGTGTCAGCAGAGGGCAGGATAACTGGAGATGTTCCATACAAAAGAGACTTCTCATATTCAGCTGTGGGAACACACACGACAAAGAGTACTCCTGGCATTGCGAACTGCTGCTACTGCCAGCAACACCTAATCTGAAAAGGGTAATGCAGCAACCACCCAGTAGATAAGTTGGCACCCCCACTACACCTACACCAATGAAATACCGAGGTAAATGTCCTTAATTGAGTGAAAATTGAGTTGCTTGTGTGAAAAATTATAACACTGATAACTGCTGATTAAATACAATTATTCTATGTGAATTACTTGGGTGAATATACTAAGCAGTCAACATAAGTAGTTCAATGCCAGTAGTGAAAGGAACTGGGCAATTACAGAGGATATTACAAAATTTCTACAATAATTAAGTCACTGACCAATATATAATTGAAGTGCCTATCAAGAATATAATGTGAACTGACTCTTGGAAGTACTAATTTCTCACCCAATTATCAACATCTCAGAAAGTGCAGATTCTCTACTCAGACCTAGACACTTTCAAACAAACAGAACCATGAAGATATCCGTCTTCTGGGTTGTTGCGCTGTGTAGTCTGGTCGATGTTAACCAACGTTTCAGAGGTCATACTGCCTCCGTCAGCAGGGCCCTCAAGTCTTACAAACAGAACCATTCCAGAGCAAATAAAGATAAATATTTGAAATAGGTTTTTAACGAAATTAACATTAAAGTTGGGAAAAGTTCTGTACCACAAAATGAATTATGTAATTCTTAAACTGTTTTTAATATAGTGCCTGTTATTTATAAAAGTCTTTTCAGTGCACCATAACAGTTTAAACTGAAATGCATTTATATACGTTTAACAAAAGATCACAAAGTGTGATAAAAGAAATTCAGTCCTGTTCAGCCCTGTTTTGGCATTTTATCAGACTGTGTATTGTTTCTTCGATTGTTGCCCCCTCAATACTCATATTTGTCAGAAAATATCTATTATTTTTTAATTATTAATTTCAGACATTTTTGACTTTAAGAATAGTAATCTTTAACATTTCGTGTCATTTGTAATGTATTACTTTTTCCTAAAATGTTCTTAATCCATCACATTTTTGCTAGAAAATGAAAAAGTGCACATAAGACCATTTGATCATTACAAAACTCATTTTGTGGTTTTCTCCAGCTTCCATCACTGGTCTACTCTTAGGTCCAAATAATTTCCTATACATCCTGTTCTCAAAGACACAACACATCAGTACAGTTACTATACAGTACATAACAAAGTTATACCTTATCAGCACTCTTCTATCTTTTAAAATAATTTAAAATCTTAATTTAAAATTATCATTTTCCATACTTTCAAATCAGAACTGTAACATTTAAGAACTGCCCAGTGGCAGGATATTTTTAATTCCAATAGGTAATTATAGAACCAACTATTACATAAATTTATCAGCTTAACTCCAAAGTTTAATTAAGTTCGGTATGAGGATCATTCAGTTTTAGCATCATAAGAAACCACAATGTGCATTCAAATAGTTTTCTTTGTTCACAGCTGCTACTCCTTGATAGATTCTATGGGAATCTGATGCTTATTCAATCACTGATTTACATCATTACAACAGTATGAAAACACAGTTAATATGGTATCTTAATTTCTCCATGAGTGTTGATACATGAAAAGCACATATTCTTCTGTAATATGTGGGCCATCTAATTTGTTCTGACTTTGACAATGGTTACTTATAAACAAAACTAATATATAACATAAACTTACCATAGTATCTTTATAATGGACTGTGTCAAGCATGATTACAATTAATCAGTTCCAGTTATGGACTATTAAATTGTACCTTAGTAATTAAGACAAAACAAAACCATTTGTATTGGACTTACAATTTCTGCTCCCATACACTCCAATAGCTTAAAGACAAACTGTAAAATAGTAATGACATTGAAGAAATTGTAAAGAACAAAATTAAGTCAAAATGTCGTGCAGTACAATAGGTTCATGCCACTCCTTTCAAAAGTTACAAATCTATAATTCGGAGTGTTATTTCAGAATCTACTGAAAATGGTTGAAACCATGAAAAAAAGTTGCATCATAATAAAATGCTAAATTAATCAGTTAAATGAAATAATTTTTGTTTAAAATTTATCATATAAAGCAACATTACTGAAACAGGTTAAAAGAGTGCACAAAAATAAATAAAATGAAGATATTCAGTCCTACCCAGATTTATAAATGTTTCCACTGACTGATATATAATTTATAGTGCTGCTTTGCACATTACCTTGTTTGTACAATTTAGAAACAATTGATTATAGCATATTTGTTATAAGTGACATTTCATATTTTTAACAACTTTACAATTAGCTGATTAGTTCAAAACACGCTTTTAGATTTTCTAAATTGTCATTGCTTAACTTTTGGCAAGTCCATTTATCAGAGCTAGTATAGATTAACACAGGAATGGGCAATGAAATTATGTCTCCTGTTAACGAGAAAAGAGTGATTCACTGTGAAGCAATTATAAGACAAAGAACAAGCCATAAATATATATTAATTCTGCTATCTGAACAAGTTTTACAAAGAAATTCACTGGGTTATGTTGCAATGTAGTGGTTTCACAGGTTCTGAAATATGGCCAGCAAATGGAAATTCAGCCATCTTGAAGTTAACATGTTTAATATTTTCCCTTAATGGATCACAATGAGTAAAAGGCAATAGAATGCGCCCAATAAGTTCATATTGCACCCAAAAAAAATTGTTTTAATACAAAATTAAAAATACACAATAGAATTCAAAAGATCACTTTTTTCAAAAATTATAAGTAAGATCCATTTCACCATTTTGATACAAGGCTTTGTCTATTTCAGGTATGGCAGCCACTTTCTCAAAAACAATTTATATATAAAACACATACACTCAAATTTTGAAACTTTTGTGTAAAACATTTGTTAATCCAACAAGTATTTAATAGCCCCATTAAAAGGGGGGGGGGGGGACTCACTAGTCTCTATGCAAACCAGATGTCTCTGTTTGATAGTATAATTACAGAAAAACTTTAATGTGTATGTGATAATAGTGTGAATTTTCACATACTGACTGTTACTAAAATTCATAATGGAGAACATTCTTGGTCAGTGGAGAGAGCTAACAAGTTTTCACTTAAAATATGAGATATACCTAAAGGAAACTAGCACAACCACCACAGAGAATTGGAATTACAAATGGCTGCATACTAGAGAGACCAAAAGATATTGTTTTAAGAAAACTTCCTGAAATCTACAGACTTTACCGGTTAGCCTGAATATGGAAAATATTTTCAAATAACTTCAAAATACAAACAGTGTATAGCTTATTTTATACATAAACATTTTGAAATATATACATAATTTATGCAATATCTATTAAATTCATATACAAATTTGTATGTGATCCCACAAAAATTATTTATTTGGTTATATTACTTTCTTCAACACTCAGTTACTACAGTATATGTTATTAAAATTACTATATAATACAAAAGATAGAATTGAATCATTGGGAACATTTTGATCCTGATACATTTTAAGAAATATAATGCTAAAGCAGATATCACTAAACATTTGATATCGGATCTTCAGCAAGGGTCACTGTGAATACCCTCCTATCACCATATGGCACTGCTGCTGCTGTTACTAATGATGGCTGTTTTGGTGATATAGATGGATATGAACAGCTAGTGCTGGGGTCAGAACCCAACAGGTGTTGACGGTTTCTTTCTGTGATGGTGGGTAGAGCAAGAACTGTGTTGCCAGATAGATCTGCGGCTTGAGGAAGAGTTACAGGCATGGTACACGTGACACCGTTCACTTCACTGCCTGTAAAATGCAGAACAGAAGCCTGGAAAAGCTGAGAGGATCAGTCTGCATATAGTATTTATGAATTATATGCAGGGATGAACTGAAGTGGAACAAACCAATATAAGAACAGGTAAACTGTATAATACAGGTTAGGATTAATTCTTCTGAATGCTACCTAAATATGAACTTGGAAGACAACATTTCTAAACCTAAAACATATCAAGCATATGCTGCTGATATTTTCTCAAGTTTTAGGTGAATGATTTTTTAAAAGATTAATAGCTCTGCCTACAAACCTCCTAAGCAGAATACCCCGCCTGAATGTCTACGTTTTCTACGCTGAAGAGGCTGCACATCCAGAGTTCCTTGACCTCTTGCTGTTGAAATAGTTGTGTACATTTTCTCCAGATCATATAGAGTTGGTCGTCTCTCTTGATTAATGCCCACTGTACTTGGAGACCAAGTCAGCTGATTGAGAGATTCACTTGTTGCTATTGGATTAAATACCTAAGGAGAATAAGGACAAACTGAAGGTCGTGTTCACCATCAAAAGGAATGACAAACAAAATTTCCATGGCACACACAAGCTAGCTAACCAACTAACTACCTAAATAGCTACCTACTTACCTACCAACTAACCAAGTAACTCTATGGAACAGAGTCCTTCCTGAGATGCTAATAACTGCTCAGCTAGTCAAGAAATTCCCCATTTTTTACGGAACATAAAGTTTCATTACCATGTTCACAAAACTCCACCACTGTTCACTATCCAGAGCCACATAAAACTAGATCACACATTCCCAAATGATTTCATTAGATCCTTTATCAAATTGATCTTCATTCTATGCCTAGGTCTTTCAAGTCATCTCTTCCTTACAGGTGTTCAGACAAACATTTGACATGCATTTCTTGCCTCCTCAAGCATGCTACATGCCCCATTCATCCTCCTTGATTTGTAACTTAATAATATTTTGTGAAGAATAGTACAAATTATAAAGCTCCCATTGTACATTTTTTTTAGAATCCTGACTCCTCCTAAGGTCCAATTGAACATACACAAGGGCATTTCCTATACACAGATTTATGAATTTCAGTTAGCATTTAATGGTCATGATATTAAAAGCAACATATTCTACAAATAATTATATAATCCATATAATACAAAATAAGGGGTCTTCTGAACTACCTCACCAAATGGAACCTGAACATATATTCCTGTCGAATCTTTTATACACTACTGGTCAACTACAAAATATCAGGAAGGGATAGAGCTGATTTTTTTCCAGTCAGGCTTAATACTGATTTTCTATGAGTGAAAACCTGCCATTATATTTTGATATATGTTAAATTCAGTATGTACCCATCACATTCTTATTACTTTGACTGCAGAGTGTAATCTTTAACACAATTATAATTGACTTGGATGTAGAAAGAAAAACACGTTCTTATGTAAATCCATGGTGAATTGTGGTTTCATGATTACAAGTTCTGAACTGAAATCTCAAAACTGCAAGTTACAGGACCCATTAGTCCTAACCACAGAAAGTAAGGCTTTACTGAAATATTTTTATTTAAATTTGTCATGATCTTTCACACAATTCTTTAGAATCAAATCAAGAAAACAGTAACTGCTAGTCTAATGTAGTCCTTGTAGTAAAATATATGAAAAAAGTTTATTTCAGTGCACACGTGTTGGTATTGCATCACTAATTAACCCAGAGTTGCTAATTCCCCATTATGAGTCTGATAATCACCTTAATACTATGTAAATAAGCATTCATAACAGGCTATTACAAATGTTCTTCTTATGTCTTCATGAATTGGAAGACAAACTGGAATAAATATACTTAGGCACAAAGAAAATATTTTGCAGGGTAGTTCATAATTTTATGAAGCAATCTGTTGTCTCCGAACTTGTTTTTAGTCCTGTTATTTTCCAAGTCACTCACCTTGGTATGAATTACAGGTCAGAGCAGAGTTTACAAACTGTATGCTCAGTTACCTTTGTACCCTCCAAAGGGTTTTGGTGTGCCCACAAGATTCAGAATATTTATGAAGGGTTTATCCAATTTTCTTTTTGGTATAATCACATGGTGCCTTCTATAAATGAGAAGTTCCTCCTAGCAGCCTGTCACCCAAGAAAGGTTGGTGATCCCTGGGTTATAGGATGCAACCTCAATACAAATTACAAGTCAGAGGATGATTTTCAGAACTGCACTATAAAATTCTACGCTTCATTTTAAAGACAATGAATATTATCATATGCACCAGTCTTGCAAATGTTCAACTCCGAGCCTATCTTTTAAAACAGAAGTTGATCTCCTGATCAACAGAAAATTCAGCTCTTAACTCTGCACCACTGCACAGAAGAGCATCTAATGTGTATAATAATTACATTTCCCTTGTCTCTATTTTTCTGTACATTCTTAACTCAGTATGAGGTATGATAATACAGTGAATATATTAGTTTTCTGGGCATTAATGCTGTGTGGGCTTGTAGATAGATATCAACGTTTTGGAGAAACGTCCTGAAGATGGAGGCAGTATGATCTTCTAAAATGTTGGCATCTATCTACAGGTGCACATAATGCTCTTACCTGACATTTTTATGTGCACTGACATTTTTAACTCAAAATTATTGTACTTCCTGAGAATGCCTATATAAAATAACACCAGGTTCTCATCACATACCGAACTAACTTCAGCAAGAAGTAGCAAAGTACAAACATTATAATCCCCTACCTCATGTAATGCAACTGTAGAATTATGACAGCTCAAACTATATACATTTGGTGCCACTGCATTTAGATTTGACTGCAACTTTGTGCGGGCAATTTCTTCTGCTAACCTGCTGAAGAAGTACAATGTCATTCCATTTTATAATAATTAAGATCAAGTATAGAATGACAGAGTCAAAACAATAAATATAACAATATAATTTTATCACAAGACTAAAGCGGCCCATCCACGTACGAGTCTGGCTTGCGAGTTCGGCTCGACTCGGGTTCCATTGAGCCAAACTCGTTTGTGGGTGGGGTGTCACGAGCCGAGTCTGCTATGCATGTGTAGTGAAAAATATCCGAGCCCGGCTCACGAGTCAAGCTCGCGAAGCCAGACTCGCAAGTCAGACTCGTACGTGGATGGGCCGCTTAAGCACTACACAGACAATAGCATTATCACCAGCTATATAGCAACACCTGTTCATGAACCCTGATTTTGTGATAAAAAGTATATGGTATTATACCACAAGGAATTGAATTACAGATGCCCTATATAAAAATTCAAGTATTAGTGTTACACCCTAACATGCATTAATTTTAAACATTCAAGATTGTTAATACAAGGATTTCACTACTTGTTATTTATAACATGAAACATAATTTCCATCTTCAAGTCTACAAACCGTTTCTGAATTTCTTCAGCATCTTCACCGTGAAATGTTCTGTTGTAATCTCGTGCAATCTTGATGTCATGTTTCCAGAACTGCATTTGATCTTTTGAAGTACGAGGTGCAACTTCTTTGATCTAAAATGTTTATGCAAACAATCTTTTCAACACATTGTTAAAAATGCAATGTTTATTCAATTGTGTACAATTTAATTATATAAGTACAGAAAGTACCATATAAAATACAATTTCAATAATTTTTTGATCTATAAAGAGCAGTGGTAATTAAAAAGTACATGTTATTTCGGTAAACTTACTTTAAGAACTATAATTCCTGCAACGAATATGCAGATAATGTTGACAAGTGTGAGGCAAAGGCTGACAGTGCCGAGAACTAGAAGCTCAACACGAGGGTTTTCTGAATAGATGGGACTGTAGGACTTGACTGCATTAGGATCATCATCCTCTAACTGCATGCGTCCTTGCCACAGAATGTCCATGCATGCTAATGCCCAGAATAATCCCTAGAAGCAAAAACAGTCAATTAAAATTAGTCACCCAAGAAAGAGCGAGGATCTGGTGATCTCAAATTTGGCACCAGACACTTCCAATGGTGCTCCCATTTAAAGCCAGAATTCCAAAGGCAAAATGACATGGCCTAGAATATATAAGATAATAGACTGAATTATTGGAATATTGAGCAGGAGATGGAAAAGATAAATTAGAAACAACATTTGGGATGGAGGAAAAGAGAGGCAATAAATAGTCTGCAAGAAAAGGCAGAAGAAACAAAGACTAACAACATGCAATAGTTAAAATATCTGATTATTTGAATATGGGGAAGAGAAACATATCTAAATAAAAATGAGACAAAGTTCTTAAATAAATCAAAAAATGTCAGAATGTTGCCTTCTGCCTTAAACATAATTGTTTTCATAGTTACAAATTTAAGCTTCATGCAGATCTTAATAAAAATTAGTACTGACATTTTAAATAAAATCCAGGCACACAATTATATTCTCAAACTAATTACATCAGTCAAAGACACAAGTTTACATAGAGACCAAAAACTAATTTTTAATATTTTTCTTTATGTACACAATGCAATGAGAAATACTCATATTTTATATGAACTTCACACAGTTCAATAAGATGAACATATGGTGATACATGTTTCTTCCAAGTAATTGTTTTCATGACATGACCTACCATTTCCAAAACAGATTGGTTAATAAAGGCTTTATATTTAGGACTCACATGTAGCCATAATGCCACACATTTTCAGAGACACAGGTTTAGTGGATAAAAGTAAGTATATGCAGATCACCTTCAATTTAAAAGAGACATTCAAGGCAACATCATATCTGAAATATGTGTGTACATACATGGATACTTCTTGTTTAAACTGCATGTTTCGTGTTTTGCAACATTTTTATAACTAGCTACAAAGTTAATATTTACAGCATTCACAGCTGGTGGCATCAGGGAAGCAGAGATGGCCACACCCACAAGAGATGCAGTGTTGTCCACAAGAATCGCAATGGCTACTGCAGCTCCTGAAGGAAGCGCAACCAGCAGTCCAACCCATAGGGACCTAATCTGACCTCTGCAAGCAACCATGAAATTGATTATAATGGGTCATAAGAAACCAGACACCTGGTTAAAACACTGTAACTGGTAGAATCAAATAGTCAGCTTTCAAAATTATTAACAACAATGAAGATAACACGTAATTCTACGAAACCAGAAGATTCACACAACACTCCAAGAGTTGAATTCAACTGAGTCTTATATTACTGTTGCCTTAACTAAGATGGGTGAGTTGTTCTCAGCGGAAAAAAGAATTAACAAAAAAATAATTAATAAATTAATTACAGGTAAAGTCTTTTTACAGCTTCAGTTAAACCTACACTTTAGAATGTGGCTCACTAATCTTAATAAATCCTTCTCAGACTACCAGCCATGTCAGGTGGTTTAATGGAGAAAACAACAATGTTTCGAGAACCATCTTTGTCCTCGTCCGCAGGGTTCTTTACTCTGAGGACGAGGACAAAGATGGTTCTCAAAACATTGGTGTTTTATTAAACCATAACATACACAAAACTGAAGTTTCAAGCTTTAACTACAATGCAAAAATACACCAAAACAGAGAACACTAATATTTCCATTTATGTTAAGTTGTTGAAACAAAAATTCTCAGGAAAACATGGATTTCGTTTTTACCTAGCAATCATCTCATCAGTAGGCCAACCACCATTTCCCCAGTGTTCATTAGCTAAACCCGCTGCCAATCCAAAGATGAAACCAACAACAAGACACACAAGCAAACCAATCAATTCATTCAGAACACCCATTTTCTGAAGCTGCCTATCCACAATCACAGTGCCAAAGGTTCCAGCCATGATGGGTCCCTGTAACAGAGATATGGGTGTCTCATAGCAAGATCTTCATGCACAGCTAATGGGTTCAGCTTCAGGTATATACATTTTGGGTGTGTTCATGTAAACATGGTCTAACACTTGTAATTCAGTAATTCAGACTCATTCTGAATGCCTGCAGAAACCAGTACTGCAAGATGATGTCTACATTAACTGAGTAAGTTGTCTTGTGAAAAATTATCATATAATTCAATGATATCAGAATACATTAAATATTTTGTAACCAGAATACAGGACAGAATTGTAAATAAATAAATAAATAAATTAAAAAATAGCCTTGGACCTTCAAGGAAAGAAGTAACAGGAGAATGAGGAAACAAGTCAATGATAATGATGATGATGATGATAATTCTTAATTTATTCATCTAAGTGTAAAATATTATTTTCCCATAAAAGGCAAAAAAATTACTCTATAACATAAAGTAAATTAACTATTAAATATTGTGTTATTTATAAAGCTGGCAACAGCTCTTTGCAGGAATTTTTAAACACAGCACTCAGACTGATTTAAAATAATTGTATTACTACAGTAAATAATCATACATACTGGTGGAAACATAATCTCAGTATTTAAGACAGTATTTACCATCAGAGGCGAGATCAACATACTGGCAACCAAAATCACAGTGCTGTTTTCTGCAAGTCCCAATGCAGCCACAATTCTGTAAAGAATAATTTATGTGAACTGTTAAAACTATTTATAAACACTGTCTATTATCAGATAAGAATGAATGCAAAAGAAGAGGGAAGAAAATTGATGTCACTGTTATCATGAATTAATAACAAATTCTGCAAAGTACAAAAAGGAAAATTACAATTACAGTGGTCACAAATTAAAAAGCAGTAAAAATGTTAGTACTTTGCATAAACTATTAGTAAACATATTTTTAATTTTCCATGCATATGAATAATTTACTGAGGAAAGAATTGTGATGTTGATTTCTCCTGAATTAGAAAAGATCTTTTAAATTGTATAAAATATTGTAATTACAGTTCATGATGTCAATATTTTGAATGGTAAAGTTAGAAGCCACTTATAAGAACTGAAGACTTATTATACAACAAAATAACAGAATAATGAATAAAAATACAATCAATTGATCCCTGTTGAGAAACTATTAGTTACACAACTGCTCAAGAAATTTTCCCTTCCCTATCTTGTAACCTTAAGGGTCCATTACCATGTTCACAAGAGTAGCTACATATGCCAGAATAATCCAGTTCATATCATCATAAACTTATTCCCTAAAATTTATTTTAATATTATCCTCCCATCTATGCCTCCAGTTTCATAAGTCATCTTTCCTTCAGGGTGTGTGACTAAAACCATGCGTGCATTCCTGATCTCTCTCATGTGGGTCAAATGCCCTGCCCATTTCATCACCCTAATTTTGTGAATAACTACCAAGAATATTCAGAATATTAAAAATAAATACCAAATATAAGTAAAGATGTTACATTGCAACCTTACCCTGAAAGGACAAGAAGAACAAGGAAGTCAAAGGTGAGGTTTGCATCTGCTCTCACACCTTCTACAACTTGTGCGACTGTTAGTCTGGCACGTACTGACAACACAAACTTATCCCATGCTGAGAGTTTAGCAGATTTTTGTTTAGATCTGTAAAATATTGTAAAAGTTTTTAAAATATTTATAGTTATAAAACATAACAAAAGAATACAAAAACAGCAATAAAACTAACAGTAGAATCAGTTCAATGAAATATACAAGTATGTACATAAGTAATTTGGCACAAGATAATCACTGTACATCTATATAAAGAAGAGTAACCATTTTCTGACATAATCCCTCAGTCACATATATGAAATTAAAAATGTTCACTGCGCAATCAAATCCTTACTTTACTTCTATAGAAACGTCTTGATGCAGACAGCAAATCCAACACACTTCCTGGTTGGAGGAGCTCCTGCTTCCACCATCATGGTGACGATGGAGTCAGTAAGCTCCTCCAAGATGTCAAGTCAATACTGACCAGATTACATGGCGCAGCATCCCAAAAGGCAGCCATCTTTATACTTGCCATGAAAACCTGAAATCTCAACTTACTCATCTGTTTCCTGCAAATCTGGACAGTCTTCAATTGATGTCGGTTGTTTTCCCTGATAGTGCAGTGTGCATGGTATTACGCTGAAACAAAGATGTGTTTCTGTAAACCAAACTTTTGCATTGCCTACACCAGTACAGCACAGTACAATATGTATTTCTGCAAATGTAAGCCAAAGTTTTCTTCCAAATCTGCATTTCCTAAAGCTAGGATGCAGCTTGCAATTAGAATACTATTTTATGCTTAAATAATCAATCTGTATTATGGTAGATTAAGAACTGTATTATGGTTTAGGTTTGATGAACTTTCATCATGGTACACATCTTTAAATACTACGGTAAAAAATTAAAGGTGCCATTAGGGTAGCCAGTGACAGGTATGGTATGTAAAAGTTTACCAGATTTATATATAAAATCATGCATTCAAACAAAACTGTTTACACTTGTAAAGACACTTAGTGATTAGTTTTGTTTGAATGCATGATTTTATAAATCAATACACTGCACGATATGCAAGGTTTCAAGATTATCAGATTTAAATTACCTGACCACCGAGTTCAGTCTGACACCTATTCCTGATTCATTTAGATGTCTGAGTATCTCTTCACAACGTTCACCAGAACCAACAGTGAAAAATACCTGAAATAAAAAAGTATGATTCAACATATAAATCTTTATTACATTTCACGTATCCAGAAGTTATGGAAGGATGTGGAAAAATTTATATTAAAACACGTATTATAGAAGTACAATACATATTACTATAAAGATTTCACATAATATAAGCAAAGGGTGTTTATATGTTACAAATAAATCCACCCATTACATACAGTATATAAATTATAATACCAGTTTTTACTAAATACAAGAAAACTTTAATGAAAATTTTGTCTTATTTGCAAACTTCATAAATTCATTGACAGAGCAAAAGGAGTGTGTAATTAGGTATCTTTGTGATCTTCTGGAAACTCAAGAGATTGGCAGTTGGTTTCCAAAGCTGGTCTCTAATGTTCATTAAACATTAACATGTTGACTTAACTGTTTATAACATTAGTTCCATAATTTCATACACACCTGGTAATACTGGCCATTCTCACCAGAACACCAAACAGCATTGTCTATTTTTAACTTTTCAAGTACCAATTCAAGTACCTAGAATATAATCATATCCACAAATAAATAAAGACAGACTTAAATTAAATGGTTACTACATAATTACAAGTTGAGCTTGCTTGACACAAGTATCATTTCTCATTACTGAGATTAAAAAAACACAGGTGCCTTGATGTTGCACCAATTTACTAAGTTGTTAGGATAGGTTAAAAATCTTGTATTTATAGTCTTGTTCAGAACTCAATTATTTGAATGTCTGTTCCCCATTCCAAACAATGTTCTAAACATAAGGTCAGAAACTTGTCTAATGTTTGTTCTATATAATAAACAAATTGCTATTGACTGCTTAACACTTGGAACAATAAAGAATTGTGACATTAACGTCTCATTTATTTTAATCATTTTATTGTTTACTATACACAATTATGAATGCTAACAGTTGAACAACTTGGCCTTGTCATCGTGCATGGAAACATTTCACTTTTAAGAAATTACTGCTGTATCTTGAAGAAGAAACTGCATAGTGTCATATAATAATTTCATCAACAGCTGAAAATTTAGTACAAGGGCACTGTGTCCCCTTTCCATTCCATCTAATTTTAACGAGTTTTGAAATTTAATTTGGATAATTGTGTACTTCAAACCAAAATAGAGTATTTTTGCATCCCTGCTGTTTATAAAGTGCAGGCTAAATTAGTGGAACAAAGAATTAAGAAATGTCTCTTGAAGGAGCCCAGACAAAATTACAATCCTCATTTTAATGTATTAAAATATGTGAGTGCAAAAACATGTTGTAAGTGCCTTTAAAAATGTTTCGCATAAACTGCCTCAGTTATTATTACCAATAGTTTATAATGATTACAACTTTCCAACAGTAGAATCTAAAGCTTCGACGCTACCTACCACTGGGTACAATCTTGAGCTAGTTCCATCTTCCCATTCTTAGAATCCGTTTCGATAAGACAAATTAATTTTGTGTTTGTGCTTTCCTTATTGCTCTTCCAAGTGGTCATTTTCCAAAATTCTGCACGCATTTCTTATCTCCCCAGCCTGCTCTGCCCAATATAGTGTAAAAAATATTTATAAGTGTGGGAGAGTCCTTTTGGTCAGTATATTACAGGATTCATATTAAAGAACTATGAAAAATTAGTAGTGTGAAATAATATTTTGCATAATGAAGCCAAGTAATGTGCTGTGACGCCACAGATGTTTGTACTTACACACAAAAGCAGATTTATATTCAAACAGCAGAGTCAAACCCATGCTTATGAGTTACCACAACACCACAATAGTTGACAAGGTTATGTAAATTTTTGTTTACCACTAACGAGCCACACTCTTTTGTTTATGAACAAAATTAACCATCAAGATCATTCGCTACACTTGTCATTCTGCCATACTGACTATTCTAGTTGAGAATGTTTGTCACAAGACACACATTTAATATTTTTCTTACAAAAGAACCATCTATTCAACCATCTATACTGAAATACTGAACAATATATATTAAAGTTCTCTTCAGTATTCTCTCTCTCTCCCCCTATATATATATATATATATACCACCAGTGGTATGCGTACTATAGGTTGAGAAACGCTGTTATGGACTAATTAAACATTCTGACACATCTTCCTGGGACAAGATACTGATTCCAGGGAAAATGAATACAAATAAAATGCCTATAATCCATGGAATAATAATTTACTGACACAGCTTTTAGACTCGACATTTATGAAGCTGTTTTTATAAAATACAAGGTCTAATGTAGCCACCTTACAGAATTAGTCCAATGATTTGGCCTGGATTTAAACTCAAATGAAGTCACTTCTTTTATTTCATTTTCGATTCATTTAACATCACTGTCAGTAGCTCAGACTGTATACCACCAAATGACTGGATTATTAATAACGAAATGGAATCGACTGTAATGAAGTGGTCGTGACATAATGAGATATTACTCCAACAACTACTCGCAGGGACTACGGAAAACCAAGACGTCCGTTCAAAATGAGCGGCCCCAGTGCCTTTAACCAGGCCTACTGTACGATAGACGAATTCTAAATCGAGCGGGTTACATCCCCGATAACTCGATTGGCTCGCACTTGTGGAACGAGTCTCAGCTGTTTTGTGTAATTGTTCAGTTTCTTCGTAGATGGCAGAAGGAACTGGTGCAGCAGCGGTAACGCTTTGTGAGGCATTCGTTTTGAAATACTTGTCTGCTTGCGGGATATCATGATAATTTATGGTTTTCCTCAGTGCCTCCATGTGAATGCCTTGATATGGATTTCAGATGCCTGCATTTCAATCTTTCTATACTTGTTATTCATTTCAATTTCCGCATCTAACTCGACGCTGAATAACATATTTAATCAAAATATTATCGTCAAATAGCCTAAAAAATCCACGGATTATTCCTCTGTATTTAAGTTACACTGTTGACACGGAGTCTTGAAGTAAGCGAATAAATAATACACAATAAGATGTTAAAATATGAAGCCTGTTTCTCCTTCAAACATGTTTCATGAACCTATTAAATTGTCATTACATTCAATTTATTTTAAAAAATGCTCTAGCATGAAGCAAACCGAAAGCACTGAACTACTGTGTGAAAAACTTCAGCCCATATCACGTGTCCTCTGCTCGTGAATTTTGGAAACATTCATACACAAATACACAATTTTACTCATTATGAAGCACAATAAAACCTACTTATGTCAGAATCTAACACATAAACATAAGTCTGTTTCAGTTTCAGACAGAATTTTCATTAGCCTAATGCATAGGCTGTTTACTTTCAAATAAAAATATCTGAGAAAGCATACTCCCACATATGAATGGTCCAAAACACACCGCCGACAAAGCGGGAGCTCTGGGGCTCAGCACCCCAGACATTTTGTTAAGTCGCCACCCACGGTCCAAATCACGAGCCAGAAATTCATGCCACAAGTAGAATAGATCATGACGAACAAGAACCTAACCCCGTTTGACGATGCCATTAGTAATATTGATTCGAAGATGGAGGGGCATTACAAAAGTAATGATATAGTTGTAGGGAGTAACCTACTCAAAAGCTCTAAGGCGTTCTATGGCGTTTATTATAAACAAGCGGTTGTTTCGCACACAGCCACGTCATGTCATGCACCGACAAAACTAACGCAGAACTGGTGTTTTACTTAACCGAATAACAGCGCAACAAAACATAAACATAAATAAGTTTGTGTTCAAGAAGAAAAAGAATTATTTTAACTTTGCTGCTACCGTCTACAGACAAGCGAACAGCCAAAGCATCGTACAGTCAAACGAGGCATAGGCAATACGTCAAACTACATACCAACCTAAATTTATTTGTTTATGGACGCTTTCAATTGTCAAAAATATACAATTCCCAACTGATAAGATAATTAATGAACAATAAATTGGAAAGGATGCGTAAGAAAGCTGTCGTGATAGCGCGTGGAATTTGCCTGGGGAAACTGAGAAAACACCCGAAAACCTTCAGTCAGAATGTCCGGACTACGGTCCTCATTCGGCGTAAATATTTACTAGCGACTGCAGATACTTCGACTATTTTATTTACTGGACAATATTACTAGCTTATTCAGAGTAACTATACACCTCGAACCCTGACGTACGCCACAAAAGTTAACAAATCACCTTCTGCTCACCTTTTTCATTGGTATCGTCTCTTCAAAACATTGTACCTTGGTCAGATCAGATGTACCTTCCTTAACTCTCGGCAAATGTTCATGATGGAACGTTTCTTCAGGCTTAAGTGTGATCTCACATGGCTTATCGATATTTATTTTAGGGTGACATTTACTTATTCGTCCAACATTAATATTGCTTCTCTCCTGATTGTTACCGTCACTGTTTATTGTTGCCGTGGAACATTCTTTTGGCGTCTTAGATATGTAAGAAATGCTAGTGTCATCTGTTTCATACAGAGTGTCAGTTGTCGAAATTGTCTTCCTCAAACTATGTAATGAATCTGATTTGTTATCTGTGAATTGTTGAATGAAGTCTTCGTTCGTGCTGTTTGAAGAAACACTTTTTCCTTTTAGATTTTCCGCCAGATTAACTTCGTATTCACTTGTGGGCACACATACTACGAACAGAAGGCCCGCCATTGCGTGTTCGTGCTACAGTCAACACCACATTGGACTGCACATGTGCTTGATGTCCTGTCCCACTATATTAAGTAACGCGTCGTAACTTCCAAAGATGGCAGCAGCATCATGTTTTTGCGCATACTCACCTTTCAAAAGACAGTCACAGCTCCACGTTCCAGGATGGCGATTCTAAACCGGTGGTTCTACAGCGCAGAGTTCGTGATACACATTTTTTATATACTGTCAACAGTTCGAAAATGACTAAAAGATTGTTTTTTCATAATATACAATTACATGTAATTTGAGATCGACGTGAAAGTTCCTTCCACACCTTCTACGAGTTTCTGAGCTATAGAAACAGTTTTTGCCGGGACTCGAACCCAGGACACTTTTGTTTCGGAGTTTAACAAGTTTTGTAGTAAGCTGGCTTATACCTTCTCGAGCTACAAGCAAAAACAAATCGACAATTTGAATTGTATGTGTAAGATTAAGAAAAGTGCCTCCGTTTCTTTAGATATGGGTATTTTAAATTCACGCCTCATTGCAACTGGACATGTGTTTGGGTGTCAGTACCTCTGGATCTCATTCCTGAGGTCCTCAGACCGAAAATTTCATGAACATAGGGTCATTCTCAACACTTGCTGAGCTATGGATATTTGAAATTCCAGATGATCTGAATCTTACGTAGTGGGGTCAATAATAGACCTTGTATCAGAAATGTTCCTCTTTTCTGTTTACTGTGTGTTCATACACATTTTCCACGTAAAGCCATAAATGGAAATCTAAGGGGAGTGAGGTCTGGTGACCACAGTGGCCACTTGGACACACCATGACCAATCCATCAGTCAGAATCTGTTCATTCAGGTACTCCATCACATGCTGACTAAAATGTGGGGCAAACCGTCTCGATGTAAGTACAAACGTAATCATGCTTTGTGTTGTTCGATTTTATTTCTATCCATAGCTCTGTAAACGTTGGATTCAGGTTCATTTGTGATTAGGAATTACCTCGGATATAAGAACCTGAATTATTGACATATGTCACTTTACACACTGTATGACGTTTTAAATTTAGTACGCAATGGTAAAACTAACTGTGGACTGTTCACATATAATCATTAAACTTCGAAAAGACTACACATCAAAATTCAGGCGAAAATCCATTAACTATATTATTCTGTGGTTTATGTAGGCCTTGGATGAATAATGGTCATAAAAAATATATTTAAAAATTCAGTACATACATCAAAGAAAAGTCTCCATTACAATGCATAAATCTTTAATGCTGTTTGAGGAAATAATTGCTGTTCATTCTGAGATTGATACAAAACCCATAAATACGATTTTTGGCCAAAATAGAATTACTGAATGTTAAACCAGGTGAAAGAGGTAGTTATCACTGTAGTTTAAAGGGTTAATACCCTCTTATGACATCAAAACCACAAGGAATTATGTTCAACAAGTCTGCAGATTTCAGTATTGCATAAGGTACAGGACATCTTTGAGGTTATCTGGTTACCTCTTGTAATTCATTAAAAAGCAATACTGGGTCCTTTTTAAACCGTTCTTTGTTGGAACTTCATGCGAGATGCAATACAGTGAAACCTCGATGCATCGTTTTCGGCGGGGTTGGGAAATAAAAACGATGAATACGGGAAAACGATAGTTGCGGGAAAGCATTAAAAATTAAAAAAAAAACAATGTTTCTCTTTCAAAGTTA